GTGACCATATTTTTATTTCTACTGTTTTCTTTTTTCTTTATTGCTTCAATAATTATTCTTTCTTTTGAAAATTGTTGCTGCTTGCGCGTTTCTTTCAAAGAAGTTCTGTTATTATACACTTAAATATTTTGTATTCTTTTACTTATCTCATCGATAACCTCATCTCATTCATGCAAAATAAGGGGGCAAGTTTCGTAGTTTGGGGGAACCACACACCAAAATAAACATCCTGTATCATTTTCGTGCAATCAGTTTTTTTGTCATTTACATGTTATCAAATTGTAGCTTTGAAAGATCATTTCATGTTCTTTATACCATTCCAAATAATTAAAGTTCTCATGCAATTGTTTTTACTTCTTTTTTTATTTATTAGCGTTTTGCTAAACATGTATTCTCCATTATAAGTCAATTCGTTGCTGTCACTGTCATGCAAAGTTTTCACAATTTTTTTGCTTACTCCCCTAATTTTTTTGAGCAGCAGTGTATTATGGAATGGAAAGTAGCCTAATAACTCCTTGCCTTAATGTTATTTAAAGAAACGCATTACAATTATCTTAACATTATCAAAACAAGATAAAGAAGTTATATGCATAAAATTTTAATCCTCTAACAAGTTACGAACAAAATTTTATATCAAGCTAAAATCACGTTATATAACTGCGTGAAATATTAGTCTTTCAGTATTTGAAGACAAATACCAAAGCTGAAAAGGTTTTTCTAACTCATAAATTTCAAATTAAAAATACATTTAAGATATCATCCCGTTCAGCTCGGATGTTGTGCTTGAAGAAAAAAGCTGCAGTTAGATTATAAGAGTTGATGAAAAAATCAACATTGAAAAAAATAATATTAGACTCCAGCTACAATTTTTATTACGCTCTATTAGAATTTTTCTGAAATTATGGTAAAATAACCTGCAACAGTCTGTACATTAACCATAAAGTTTCTGGTTAGGAACATTTTCTTACCTTTACGATTTTGAAACCGTTTACAACTATTACGGTTAGAAAGCCGTGAATACGAAACTATACTGTTTTGTAACCATTTACAACGATCACGGATTCTAAAATTAAACTTAAACGAGCATTGGAGCTCTGTGGCGCCATCTATGAGTGAATGATAGTTTACTATTCTAGTAATCTAGGGTCACCGATTGAAGAGTGCAGGAGACTAGAAACTCTTAATTGAAAGAATGGAAGAAATATTGTAGTATCAACGCTGGGATTCGAACCGCTGCTCAGCCGGCCATGAGAGTGACTGATTAGCCCTCTCATCTGCAATATATACCCTTCTGTATGGAACAAGATGGCTTTATAAGATGGGTCTTGTTGGTGCAGATAGAATTCTGGTTGTTTAACCGTATTAGAAAAAAAAACAATCAATAAACGTTTTTTCTCTCACTTAACTGTTTGAATATCATCTTTTTTGTAATTATTTGACAGTTTTGGTTGAATATGGTAAAATCACAATAAAATAAATTGCTATTTAACCATTTTAACCGAAAAATTTCTAACAGTATAATTGAACACACGGTATTGCAAGACCTCTGAAAATAGCTTTTTGAATTTTAAAAAAAAAAAAATGCGAATGAATAAACAAAATAATGCATGAATAGACAGCGTATCTAGTATATAACTACAGTGACGTAAAACATTTTTAAGCACATTTTTACACATTAATTCCAGCGCAATTTATGTTTAAGTAGTTCGATTGCTAGTATAAATTTAAACATTCACTGTGTAAATGTAAAAGCATATCGTTTAATTTTCGCCAATTTATATGAAAACAAATATTACTAATGACAATATTTGTAACTCAATGCATCAAATATTAACAAAAAAAAGAACATACTTTGAAAGTGAAAGTTGATTAACAATAAAGTGTTATATTTTTCACATAAATTCTTTTTCAGACTTCATTAGAGAGTTTATACAGGGTTATTCATAATTCCCTCCGGGGTTTCGAAGCGTTATATTAAGAAAACGAAGACGAATATGGCAAAAAAAGAACAAATGCAATTATTCCGAAAGTATTCAAGTTTTAATTAAAGCAGTTGCCGGTAGATGGCAGTAGCATGTACCACTGAAGCCAGTTGTAGTAAAGAAAAAAGGCGTTTACAGGCGGAGGAAATTATGAATAACACTGTATATTAATCATTTCTTGTTATGCTCAAGCAGAAAACAAGTGAAATACCAAAACAAAATATTAAATATAACTGATGTAACAATTGCTTTAATGCTTACATTTACGAAATCCCACCTTCTTCCACAAACTTCTCACAAAACGAAACATTTTGTCACGTTTTGAAATATAATTCACCAAATTATAAGCTCAAGCGTTATGCGTTCTATAACTAGCAAGCTCACAAATTAGAATGAGGAATTATAATTAATTCCGGATTATTGTAGGTGTTGTTTTTTTCATTGTTACATATAAGAAAACAATAGTTTGAAACAATTTATTGTTAAAATATTATATAACTAGAGTATTGATGTAAGATTATAAAGCTAGAGTATTGTTGTAAATCTCCCTCACAAACCTTTTATAATTGCTTACGGTGTGTCAAGTCTTCCGGACAGTGGTATATGAATCAGAAGCCACATTACTGGAGTCGAAGATAGAAAGAATTTTTTTTCCAGATCGGACCGTGGCTACTGAACAATTAGATCCTGTATAGGTCAAAAGAAGACTTAAGTTTTCTTTCAAAATTATGAAATATTTCAAAATAAAATTTTCGTTCCGATAACTAATATAATTCTTTCACTCTATTTTACCTTTCAATCGGAGATTATTACACTGGTGAAAACAATTGAAGGGACAAATGATTTTTTTTTTGCAATAAAAACTAACAAAAAAATAAGTAAAAACTAAAAACCCAAAATATCATCCAATATAAGACCAATGTATGAGAAAACAAAAAAGGTACAACCTGTACCCTAAATAAGGAAACTGGTTATTTGTGCAGTGCAGAGCTGTGCATATATATATATATANATATATATATAACATAAAAAGCTTCAATTAATCTTTTTATGTTATCCTAATTAATTATTCTAATCGAAATACTTTCTCACACTTTTAAAAGCCACATCCTGTTCTTAAATATATTTTTGGCTCAAGTATGCATTTCATTAAAAGTAGGACATTTTTCCCTTTTGCTCGCTGTGGGAAACGCTCGGCCTATTTGATAATCCAATAGTAATTTCTAAGATTTCCCTCTTTCCCTAAATAGAGACATTTACGGATTTTACTTTGCAAGATTTTCTCTAACATATAACCAAGGAGCGCAACTTTTCGTGTGCACTTTCACACTTTTCTCATGACTGCACTGTTTAATAATTAATAAATAAATTTTGTACCCTCCTTCCCGGCCTAAGACCTGTTTTAATCCTTCCACTCGGCAACGACGTAATATATATATTATATAGATAGACATCAACTAATAATATTATGTTTAATTTTGCTACAGTTAGTGCTACACGATTTGGCATAATTATTTACTATGTATTTTATTTTAATGTGTAGAGCAGTAGTCTCCAATCTCCTGCTGGGCTGCCCAGAGAACATTAAATTATTTCCACAGTGATGTGACTATTTCTCTCGGGTTTGTATGATTTTCCAAGAACGGTCATTTAACCGGGAATTGAGAGACTTCACCTAAAGACGCACCAATACCATGCATGCAATTTTATTTTATCTTGAAATTTTATTTTATCAACTACAATTAAATTAAAATTATTAAATCAAAACAGTCTAAAATATAGACAATCAACCCCCCTTCCTCAGCGGGTTGCGGTTAAATTTTATAAAACATTGAGCGGCCAGCGGCGATAAAAAAAAAAGTTAGCACTAATGTGGAGATAATGATGATTATAGGTAAATATGAGCCCCAATGGCTCAAAGGATAGAGCGTTCGCTTTCCAATGAGGTGAAACGGGTTCGAATCCCAGCGATGGCTGGTCGATACGAATTCCGCACTCGGCTTGCACTGACCACAGTGCTGACGGTAAATATCCTAAGTGGTAGATGGATCATGGGTTAGAGTCCCCTTAATTTCAGGCTAATAGTCTTCCTTTTCATGTAACGCAAATGCGGGTTAGTTCCATCAAAAATTCTTCCACGAAGGCAAATTTCTCCCAATACTTGATCCAGGAGTTTCCTTGTCCTCTGGATTCGGTTCAAAATTACAATGCTACGGAGTTGAACACTAGTAGCCGTAAACCTAAATTTGGGTCGGCTGTTAAATGACGGTTATATATAATATTGGTAAAGATGTAATATACAGATAATGATTATTTGTTGTAATATTGAAAAAATTTTGTAATTAATAATAATTTCACATTCACTCAGTTCTTGGCGTAACATTTAGCAATAATAAGAATTCAAAAATTGCTAAAACTGTTTTTAATACAAATTATTAATATTTATAACACCCTTATATTAATTTATTGTTCGTTATTAAATTAAAACAAAAATTAGTGATTAGGAATGCGTTTTTTCACAGCATTTCATACATTTTCAATGAAATTCAAATTGTCAGAGAAATGTGCTGGCCAGTCTTTACGATTGATGTCTTAGAAGTCAACTAATAAGGCAAGTTGTAAAATAGCCACTATAAATAGAGAAAATTCTTTATTGGCAATGTTACACTGTACTCCCGCGAGAAAGTTATGAGCAATACACAATTTTGGACAACTGGGCTGATTAAAATAAATGAATTTTACTTCGCTTAAAATTAAATTAACAAACAACTACGTATTCAAAATAAGCAATTCAAGAAGTTTAAAAAAAAAAAGTCACAAACGTTAGGAAAAATAAACACTATCCTGCCTAATTCTTATCAGTAATTCAGTATTTAAGGAGGATGAGATCTCAAAGGAAGGACTCTGATATAAAAGTATTGATGGTAAATCGCTTATCAATGTCAATAGAATGAATCCATTTCAAGTTGTAGTGACATTCTATTTCAAAGTGAATTCAGATATTCTAAAAGTGGTGTATGTTATAGTTGATTACATTTTAGTAAAGAACTTTTCATTATTTAATTCAATGACACATGAGCATGTGGAGGCTGTTTAAGTAAAAGATGTTCCTTTATTTTTTATTTTTTTTCTTCACTGAAAGTATTTTGTACCAGGAGGAAGGGTTATGATTTATCGACTAACTTCATTCTAAAAGAAAGGTACTTACACCACTTTTAATATAAACAACTCAATTGTGGAGGTAAATAAGATATTTTAAAGAATGTGATAAAACTACTTATAAGATAATATTTTGAGAGGCTTTTCGGATATTTGTGATATTCGCTTTCAAAATAGAAGACGTTAGACTTTTTGTCTCAAAAATATATTGCATTTAAAGAAATTATATTATGCTATTAATGGAGATATTACCTATTTTGTTTTTAGTTTTATTTGGACTAACTTTTACTTTCTGTAAGTAAAGCCACTTTATAAAAAAAAAAAATTTCATTCGATAATTTCGATGATTTTTTTTTAAAAAAAAGCAATCTACATGATGATCTAAAAGTCTCAGAAAAATGAAATATCTTGAGTAATTTTAAATCATTATCTACAATCTAATTAACAAAATTACTCGAATTTTAAGAAATCTTATTAACAATAAGTAAGTCAATTCATCTGTGTGCACCCGTGAGGATACTAATCTTGTTTTTGCTATATTTGTTTTGGTCATTTAAAGATAAATTTTAAAGTGATTTTTTTTAAACTTCAAAAACTGCTTATAATGACAAATTAATAAAATTAACAGCTTTTTCGATAGATAGACTAACAGCTTTTCAGAATACAAAACATCAAATATTTATCATTATGTCGAGCAAACTTGATCAAAAGTTTTTATATTCAAATTGTGCTTTAAAATAGAACCAGTGTATGCAAATAATAGGTAAATTGGGTTTAAATCGTTTACACAATGAATGCTTATTCTAGCTTTTCTCTCAGTGAAACGCAAGCATGGATTCGTGTCTTAAAAAAAAAAAAAAAACAAAGAAATCTCCATCTTTTAATAGTTGATTCAGGAGTTCTCTTTGTCTCCTGGGTTAAGTTCAAAACTGCAAGTAGTTTTAAATTATTTTCGAACATTAAAAATCATGCATCCGCTATGATCTCTGTTACAATGCGGGAAATGAAGTAAAACAAATTATTTTTCCTGTTCTATCTATATATTAAAAATGCTTCAAGTGGCACTGCAGCCGCTGTTTTAGGTATGTAACTTTACCTTGCATGTTGTTTTGCTACGCAAACACTAAAAGACTTAGAAACTTGAAATTACGACGTTGTGTAAAAAATGTGTGGGATAAAAAAAATTTAACATTCGATACTTAGTTTGAGAAAACTGCTAAACTTGTAATAAAAAATACCGAATGGATCGAATTTGTTTGAAATTTATTGCAATTTAAAGTGCTTTTTTAGTGAATTTTTTCTTACTTTTTAACTATATGCCGAATGTAATAGGAAATTTCACTATCTTTCTCGTTTTGTTTATTTCCTAAGATCGCTCTTGAATTGATGCGGAAAATAATAAAATAAAATAAAATAAGAAAAAGGAATTAGATGTTACCAGGATCTTATCATTCATTTCGAAATTTTTTTAAGTCAAGAGAGAAAACTACTGTTTCTAATTTGAGCTGTTATATTAATATTAGGTTAATCGTTATATATATATATANTATATATATATATATATATATATATATATATATATATATATATATATATATATATATATATATATATATATATATATATATATATATATATATATATATATATATATATATATATATATATATATATATATATATATATATATATATATATATATATATATATATATATATATATATATATATATATATATATATATATATATATATATATATATATATATATATATATATATATATATATATATATATATATATATATATATATATATATATATATATATATATATATAAGGAGAGAGAGAGAGAGATTTGCACTCTTTGACTTTATTTCTTTAATAGTTCCGTTTAATTCAATTAAAATTATTTATCAACTGAAATTATAAGTAAAATATTGTTTTATTGTTGAAATATAATTGATTGCATTTTATTCATATGAGTTAAAACAACTTTTCAGGCACTGTACAATGTTATAACTGCTATTCCGTATCGAAAGATTCAGACATTATTGAAGAACGTACAGATGTCCTTAGAGACACACGGTTTCGTAAATGCTGGGAGTTAACTGTTGGTGAAGATTACGTGTTGTACATGAAAGTAGCTCAGTTTGATTTAAGAACTGAAGACATTTGTCAGACAACAATAAGTTATGAGCATTATTATAGAACAACTGGACAGCCTTATTTTGTAAGTCACGGATATTTTACTCCCATTCATTACTTAACTATGTTAAACTATTAGAGTTATATTTTTAAAAGCCATTAAATTAGATTTATATCTATCATTAATCTACGCAATTCATTATTGATACTGATAAATTATTTTGAGAACACGAAGCAAAATTACTCACTTATTTCTGCTCAGCATCTTACAAAATTAGTTTCATTTTTTTTCCTCAGGAATTTAAATCGATGCGCGCGTGCGAGGGCTTTCCTATCTGAAGATTTTCAATACAAATTTTCAATCCCTAATTATTATTTTTATTTTTTCCTGTATTAAATTTTAAGCCAAAGGATGATGAAAATGATAAGAAGTGGTAACAAACTTTAGGCAAAGTGAATATTTTAATTTCAGTTTTAAGATTTCTAATCCGAATAAAGTAAAACTTTATTCAAGAGTGATTGCAAACGTTCAACTGGTGGAATTATAGAGTTTTCTCTTACGAGCTTCTTCTGCAGACAAAATAAAACAGAGAAGTATTGTGATTATGTGTAACTCACAAGTTAATGTTGAGACCTGTACCTGAGAAATCGAAAAAATATCTTCTGTCAGGATAATATAAATTCGACAGTCACTGCAGAAACTTAAATAAAGAATTGAACCCAAAGTCGGACTGGAAGTTAGGCGCCCAGGGGGGCACTTAAATTAGGGGGCCCTTGAAGGAATAAAATATCCTTTGTAAATGATAATAAAGCGTTATTGTTTTTGTTTCATAATTCATTATTGCAAAGGGGAAGTATCATTTTGGGTATAAGTGTTTTTCCTTCTTCTATTTCCCCCCCTTCCCTAGTATAAGACTTATTCATTAAATAATGTTCTAAATAAATATTCTATTTCAGTCATAATGCCAATAACAAAACAAATTGAGATAAAATATGTTTTAAAATTATATAGATTTTTTTTTCCAAAAGGACATGGATTTAGAGGGCCTCACTTTTAAGGAAGGTCCACCACTTTTTTTTGAGGGCCAAGAAGCGATCGCTTTTTCAGGTCTATGACCAGTCCGACCCTGGTTAAACCTTCAGTATCTGTATTTTATATGCTCCAGAAGTTACACAATAAATTGAACAATAAAAATAATTGTTCCTATCGATGAAGTTAAAAAATTTCTGAAGAAGAAAATAAAAAACATATCAAACAATGCAAGACAGTTATAGGAAAACCCGTATTATAAATTTTTGGTTACTACACAGCTAAAATAAATCTCTAGGCCCAGAGCTGAAAATTTCCTAATAGCACGCAGCTGAAACGCTAGGTCAGTGTACGCTTGCCGTCACCTTTACCTGTATGAAACATAATGGTTGGCCTACTGTCAAAACGTCAGAGGCCGTTTGCTGGCCAGCAGTTGAGGACTGACAAACACTGAGAAAGAGATTACCCAACACTTTTTAATGCACTATTGGTGGATTATTGTCATTGAAACAACAACATCCCGGTAGCTTATTGCGAGTAAATAGAGAACACTTATCCTTAAGGATAAGTGTTCTTATCCTTAAGGATAGGAACTTATCCTTAAGGATAACTGAAAATTCCAAATCTAATTAGTTTTATTTAATCTAAGGAGAAATATTTAGTTAATTAATAATATCTCATTGAAAATATGGTGAATTTAATTTGATTCTAAACCAAGTACGAACTTATACAACTACGGTTGAGAGAAATTACTCCACATCCTTGAAAGAAATGCAATAATAATATCATTTTATTTATTTATTTTCTTTCTTAAGTTCTCATTTTTTGAGCTCAGTAAAAGTATACGTTTAACTAAATTCGGTGATAGTAAATGTCAAAATTCAGTACAATTCTTTCATTTTTTTAATGAATTTATGTTAACTTATAAATTATTATACAAATTATTTGGGTTTTCATAAAACCTCTACACGTTATTCCGTACAACTTGCAGTTATGTTCCGCTCTATAGTAAATGAAGTTTAATTTCGGGAATGTATTTTTTACAGGACAACAGAAGGGCCATCTTGACAATTGAGGATGAATTTAATAACTTCAACTACACATTTTACCCATCAAAATTCAATTGGGATCAAACAATAACAATAAGAGGAGACGCAAGAATTACTTTGGAAGTAAATAACCAATACAACTGGTGCATAGCCCACGAAGTAGCTTTTAGATTGGAATTTTCGAAAGGTACAAATTTGAATTTATTTATGAAAATGTACATATTGTTTGATAATATATAGTCAATTATAATTCCCTCTCCAATTCTATATGGTTATAATGATAACAATAAATTTATAAACGTATGTGTTATTAAAAGAAAGTATGGTTAATGAAAAAATTTATAAAGTATTGATACTTTAGAAAAATACTCTTATGGGATCCAGCAATGGAAAGAAAAAAAGTTCCTACTTGGGAGCGCTTTTCTCTCTTTCTCTCCTAAAACTTTCAATTTTAGGTACTTAATAAATAAAATTCTAATGCATAATTTTTGAGTGGTAACAAACAATTAAATGCAGAAAAATAACTCCTACAAATTCTAGCAATAAAAAAATTATTCATATTTCCTCTGAGTAGAATTTTTACCTTTCACCACTTAAAAGCATAAGTTTTAGGTACCTTCTAAATAATAATTAGCTATTTTTTATTTTACACTTAAATGTCGAAATATAACTTGTCTAGATTCTAATGATGAAAAATATTTCTTAAATATGTCGTTACCTTTTCCTCCTGAACCCCTCCCTACTAAATAATAATCATAAAAATTTAATCATAATAATTAAAATCAATAAAATAGCATTTTATTATTTTTTTTGGGCAATTAAATGTTCGAATGCAACTTATATGGATCCTAATAATGCAGTGAGAATGGCTATTAATCCCATGCCTGATGTAAATGAAATCGTCGGATAAAAATTGCATGTCCACTCCAAATAACGCAAACGTGTGTTAGTTTCACTCAAAAAGTCTTTTTCACGAAAGAGAATTTATCCCATTCCTTAATGCAGGTGTTTTAGGCCTGGGTTTAAAATTTCAAGGATACGGATTATAGATAGTTGAACATTGATAAAGCCGCAAATCCTGTATGGATTGGCCTTCCAATGAGGATGATAATATTAAATGCAATAAGGTAATAGCTCAGATTTTTAAGAATACTTTTTTTCTATGTTAAAACATTTATTGCACATTTACTACAAGAGATTATGCTTTGCTGTTATGACTTAAAATAACTGTTTTGACTTAAAAAACAATAACTGCAAAAAACTGAAACTGATTTCTAGTGACTGGAATTGAGACTGTTGAAGGAATAAAAGAAGCGAGAATAAAGGTCTTCAATAGGATGTTAAAGCAACTTTTGCCTCCTTTAAAATGGCATGACGACATAGATAAAGCGGTTATAGCTCTACATTTAGGTGGTGTCTTGAATTTTTCCAAATCACGTGTATTCGAAGAGCTGCTCATTAAGCAAGTCGACCTCAAGTCGTCTGTAGCACTACTCAGGTATTATCTTTTGTCCTTAACATGCATTTTCATGTGAGTTCTGGAAACACTGTCCTTAATATACAGGGGTCTCCAAATTGTTGTGATAACTTTTTAGAGGAGCTATGTGATATACCATAAGATCCCGAGAACAGGCAAGAGAAGAATCTCAATGACTGGAGCCGAATAATGTAACTTCCAAATGAAATACATTCAATAGTAAATTCCCATAAATCAATTGAAGGTTATCTAAATGCTTTTTTCACCCTTGACGTGGTATTTTCCGCCAATTTTCTATAGCATCAGAATTTTTATGAAACATATTTTTCAAACTTTTTTTCATTATTTTGTATTAATTTAGGTCAAAATAAGTAAAAAATATTATATTTAGACTTTTAAAAGTTTATGGTTATAAATACAGCATGAAACATCGGTGTCTTTTTACTTATTTATTTTGTTAAAGTTACCTTCCAAACAATAATTTTTCAAATTTACACTTATTTGCAGTTACTCCTAAGAGGTCCTCCTAATCCTTCCTTAAAGAAAAACAGTTATTCATCATTGAAATTTCTTTATTTTAAAAAATCAATTATTGATAAATTTTTGAATAAATTTTTTAAATTTTTCAATAACTAATAATAAGTCAAATAAATTTTTGAATGAAAGAAACTGTTTTTGGATTTTACATTTTAGTACAAATATAATTCAGATAATCTAACAGATTTCTTCAGTAACTGTTAAACTGTTTGTAATAATTAAAAAATACCAAAATGTATTTTTGCTTGTAAATAGAGCCTAAGAAAAAGATATATAAAAGGAATCATCTGCGTCAAAGGGTTAAACCATTCAAAAATCGAGAACCGATTTCTCTACAAGCAACGGATATGTGTTTACAAATCACAATTGGTGACACCTAAATGCTGTTCGAGAAATGGTGCTTGTCCTTGGACTGCATACGAAGCAATGACTATGTAAACGTCAAGGAAAAGTGATTAGCAGAACAGAGACAGAAGATCTGAAAGGGCACAAAAGTAATTAATTGGGAACTTTTATTGAACATCGTGTGTACAAATTGCGTACTAGATAAATACAGTTGATACTGTGTTACAACAAACAACAGCTCATCTAAGTTTGCACCATTAAGCACTATACATTTTCGACACCAAATGCAGCACTGTACGCGGTCACAACTAGTCTATGTTGTTGCTACAGTTCACTGTAGTATCAACATAGCCGAGGTTTGTCATTAGATACGTGGCAGCTTCACAGGCTCATGATAGATGACAGCTTTGAGAACTCACCTCATATAAAAATCAAATCGCCATGAATCAGCTGAGCCTCGGGGCACCTAGAAGCAACCACTCATTGCTTATAGGTGAGCATTAGCGTAAGGTCGCGAACAATAATCAGAAAAACCCTAGCGAAAAAAAATTATATTCCCTTAACTCTGTTTTTAAAATCGGTGTAGATGACTTTTCTTTTATTTTACTACAGATATAATATTTACCTTTAGATATTTACTTTTTACTTTTAATATTTACTTTTACTACAACTATCAATAATATCATTGATAATTTCATAAACATAAAAATTTCATTAATCTTCTCAACTTAATAGCAATAAGTTGAGGAGACACTTCAAAAAAGGTAAGCATGTCTTTCATTTGTAAAATCATTACCTTTCTTTAAATTATTCCCTTTAACCATCAATTTTTTTTAACAGGAACAAATCAGAGGCAGTAACTCTTAACAAACTAGCTAAAATAATAAACAGTTTGCTTGTGACTTGTCACAACCCTAGAAAATTTTATGGCTATGATCTCATAAAGATGGCAAAAGAAAAACTTGATGAGCCTTTAATGATACGAAGTCCACTGGCATATATTGCATTGTGCAATGCAAATGAAACCTTAAGTTACCTAGAAGTTGATAAGCTTTTGTGGTCTGTGCGTGAGCATCAAGTTAATGAGGAATATCCTTTCAGCTCGGGTAAGCGTGGTTTAAAATAGAATTCTTATAAAACTATATTTTTGTTTTAAAAACAATGAGAATATAATGATCGGAATGATAGTATGTAAAAAAATACAATTTAAGGTTTCAGAGGAAGAAGTAGTACTTTATTTACGTCACACTAAAGCTGAAAAATTGGCTATTGGAGGCTATATTATTAACATAACTGAGGATGAATCGAAGAATGCCATCCAAATTTTAATCCTCTGCGGAGGAGGTGGCTCCCCCGGTTTGGTAGCCCGACGACCAGCGCGTGAAGTCGATCACCATATGACAAATGAGGGCCGATACGCACGCCTTCGGTCCCTTCGCAAACAGACCAAAGTGGTAATCTGTCGGCATACTGACCGCACGCAGCCAGTACTGCAATTTTCGGGGATTATTACTGGGAACCGTGTCTTACGGTCAGTCCACTGTGGGAACAACAGAAGAACAACTTCGGTCCATATAAGCAAGTTTTAAACAAAAACATATTTATGAGTTATTGTAAATCCTTAAAATCAAAATTGGATACAAGATGGGAAAAACACTACTACTAACACTTTGATTTTTTTTTTTTTTTTTAATGGGGCATGGAGGGTAGAGTATTTCGAATAACATTTCCTTCCTTATAAAATACTCTTTTTAACGTATACATGTTGATATAGCAACAAAACAGGTTGGCAGATACTACCGTTTTCTGAGGGCAAATTTACTTAGAATAACAAGACCTGTGACGTAGTCTATTATGTACCCAATTAATAATATAACTGATAAATTGCAGAAAACAATCTCCAATAACATCAATTTTATCAAATAAGAAAGAAAACTTTTTATTTTTCTTTGTAAAAAATTCTAGCTTGAAGTAATTCCTCTCGGTACTGAAGTAGTTTTTCCATCCATGCATGCTGAATAAAAACGTATTTTTTGTAGTTATTTTACACCTATGACAAAATTCGTAATCTTTTTGCGTATACACATATTTAATTTATTCTTTACCTTTTTGGAATATCATCATTTTTAAAAATTATTTTTACATGATCAAGTGAAGTATTGCTCCAACTCGTGGCGGCAAGTAAAGCACTATTTCTAACAACGCTAATAGTTGCGATTTTATAAAAAATTGAGCAAAATTTGTTTTTGTAGTTTTTTCTTTGAGAGTTTTGAATGGTCCGAGATTAACATGAATTATTGCAATTGCAGACATCAGTGCCTTAGGCTTAATGGCTCTTTCATGCGTAAGAAATCAAAGCTTTAAAATAAAAGGAGCATTCAAGGAGGATTTTGACTTTCTTTACAATGAAACACTCGAACATTTAAAGATGCAACAACAGACGGATGGAAGCTTTGGAAACATCTATTCTACTGCTATTTTCACTCAGGTATTTTTTTAAAATTTATTTGGGAGTTTCCTCATTGTTGGAAGTTTTATCTCTTACCGACACAATTCGAGATTACATAATTATAATAAGGTAATTTGGTCATGAAAAAACAGCCTTTTTTAAATCTCTGCCTGCATTTAACTATATAAATAAAAAATAAAAATTACTAAACATTTTCACTCTTTTTTTTTTACTATAAAATTTCACCGTTTTTTATGACAGGTCCAGCTCGATTAAAAACGGAGTCTGGATTTTTTTATTTTTTGAAAAGTTTATTATTTATTATATTTACGTAGTGAAATATACATTCGCGCAGTCGAAAATTCAAACACTTGAGCCTTCACCTCGTTTCAATAAATTATCAATGAAAAAATTTTTTTCCACTTATGCGCATTTCAGTCTTTGTTACGGTAAGTTTTCCAGGTGGTAAATGAAAGACTATTCACATGGCTATCTTCAGTTTTATGGAAGTACAAAAAAAAATGTAGGGTAAAACATTTAACCAGAATAAATTGCTCCTCAACTGACCATTATTTTAGGCTCTCTTATAAAAGTAATAATGATAATAAACCCATGTTTGGTTTAAAAATATAGTTTTCCTAGTAGCAAATGAAGGAAATATTCATAAAACAAAGAAAGCGACAGATATTTGACAAGGTATTTTACCAACACTTGTTCAGAAACAGTCTTTATCGGGTGGGCAAAATACACAGTCAAACATTTTTCGTCTGTATTAAAATTTTCAATATCTCCATTCGTTCCGTTTGCCTCGTTGAGGAGTATTTTCTAGTGCCAAAAATCAAATTTTATCACGAAAAGAGCGTAAGTACTAAAAAACATGGTCGCCTTGGAGCTATCTAAGCGGGCTAAATTTTATCCAAAATATTTTTGTTCTCTTCAATTTAGCAAACCATGGGAATAATCCGAGATAGCCTGGTTGGTAGGGCACTGGACCCATGTCCAAGAGTTCGTGGGTTCGATCGCAGTCGGCCGAAGACTCCCCGAGTAGTAAATGGTGACTGATGCACGTTAAATCTATCGAATCGCAATGTCCTCCATGTTCCCATAACAAATCAAAATCTCTGGGGGTACTGATCCAGGAGTTTCATTGTCTTCTGGATTGGTTCAAAATTACAAGGCTACGGAGTTGAATATTAGTAGTCGTAATCCCAAAATTGAGTCGGCTGTTCAACGACGGATATAAAATATAAAAACCATGGGGACATCCTACATTTGATCTTCATCAAACACTTCAAATAACCGGTTTAATTTGAATGACCATTCTGATATACTACGAAAAAAAGATTAATAAATAGCAATTGTAAGTCGTTTCTTATAGAACACCTTGTATCTGACATAATTACGTTTTGGTAACAATTGTTAGAGTTTCGAATTATGTGTTGCACTACCATAAGTAAAAAGCCCAGATTGTGAAGCGATCGGAAAGGAATAGTGAAAGTAGTAGTTTGGCGAGCGTAACATCCCTATTATAGTTATATAAATGTCTCTATAACTTCAAAAATATTAGCCAGAACATTATAAATGCAAGATTTTATCGTAGAAAAAAAACTATCTAGTTTCTTAGGTTATAAAAATGTTCTAACATGAAATATCGTTTGATACTTCGTGACATAAAAGCTTAGGTATACATAAAAAAATTCTATAACTTTCAATAGAATAAATATTTTTTCCTTTTATTTTACTGAAGGTATATTAAAGCGAATAAAAATTAAGTACAATTTTTTCACATATAACCATTAAGCCGTCTTTCTTTTTAATTTTGGCAAACAGAACATTGTTTGTTATGCGTTTTATAACGCTAAATCTAATAAAATCAAAATGAAGTTGATACACTTATAAGTTTCAAAATGATAAGAGTTTTATGTGTTTAAATGATGCAAGTCAAAATAAATTATACTCTAATTTATACATTAAGTTTTCGTACTTTCCAAACTTTTAGATCAATCGACTTGGGTTAGGTATACATAGAAAACACGATACATAACTTGTCTACAGAGCTAAAGTTTAGCTTTCTCACCATTTAACCCCACCACTTCAGTAGAATCAAGGTGGCAGTCAAGCTTAAGTTGGAGAAAGAGAAAACTTTAGAATTGGACCAAAATCAAAACTTTTGGGCCCTTACTTTCGATTATTAATCTATGCCACGACTACGACACGAACAAAAAAAATTATGGTAAATTTTGTTCTGATAACAAAAGTTAAACAATAATTATTGAAAAATTAATAAATAAAACGCTTATCAAGTGGAAAGTTAGCATAACAGAAGAATAGTGAGTGATAATTAGAATTACACGTTAACAAAATACAAACCAAGATTGCTTGAAGCATTTGAATGGTGTAAAAAGTCGATGGTTTAAGAAAATCCTTGAAGATGAGGTAAACAATTAAAAATGAAATGATGATTTTGAAATTAGAGTACTATTCTATAATATAAAAAAAAATACTTGTATTTTTATCATTCAATTTGTTTTATATAGGCTTTGATGTCAAGCAATTCTGCAAATCAGTCGAATGTTTCTGATTCTGTGTTTCCAGCTGCAAGATTTTTGATAAATCATTTAAACACCTCTGATTTCGGATCGATGGCTGCTTACTACATTTTACCGATTCTTAATGGAAAAACCTTACTAGATATACGCTACACAGACTGTTCAAGAAACCCTAGAAAAGATAGGGATGGTAAGTTCTTAATAATCAAACTTTAAGAAAAATTGAATAATGGGGTTTATTTACTAGTTAACTTTTGGATTGACCAGTTTAGTACATTAAAAAATATAATAATAGTAGCAACTTTATTTTATTATTTTTATTTTGTAATGAAGACACAAATTGTCCTTCAATAAAGAGAGAGCTGGCTAAAACTTAAACCAGTGGAAAAGGGTTAAGATAAATGAAATAGCGCGCTGATGATGGAACAAGGACTAACTAACCTTCTTTACCAAGATCTAATAATCCTTACCATTTAGAATAACTTTTTGATTACCACTTACCCACTTTAGTAAAGTCGTACAGATCTTTTGTAAAATATCCAGAGATTTGCATCATAAAATTAAACGAGATATCTTAATGGAACTTCAAAAAGGGTCCTAAAGTCACTCTACTTTGCAGCAATACACATTTTATTACTTCATTAAGAGTGGTGATTACGCAATACTGTATGAATGGAAAGACACCTTTTCCAAGTTTAGCTTAAGTTAGTAACTGAAAAATTGTAATGGAAAAATATTAAGTAAATTGAAATATTAAAAATTCAGTGTAGTAATTTTCTCAATGAAATGGGGTAAAAATGAGGAGAGCAAATGCAATCTCTCATTTGGATTACAACGATATGTTGAAGATAAATATGCTTAAATTTACTAAGACAATATGTTAAGTAACTGGACGCTTATAAAATCGAAATTATTTCGAATGGAACATTAATCAAAATCGGTACATACTCCGATTCTGACTAGCTCTGTGATATGATATGTGATTTGCCCATGTTAAATGTCAATAAGTCTAATTTATCAAATATGTTTTTTCCTTCTTTTAAATCAACATTAATGAATTTTAATTTATAAAAAACCGTATTTCAGGTAGCGGTATTTCGGACATCGTAGAAGCAATGATCAAAGTGCAGTATTCATTGATCATAGGAGACAAGGAAGATATCAAGAACACACTCTCTCTCAGAGTCCCAGAAAATATAACAGCATATGAAATTATGCAGAAAGCTCAAAACATCGAATCCAAATACAAGTAAGATGTGATTTGCAATGACAGATTGTTTTTGTGTTAATAAAAATAGATAGTCGAGACAAACTTATTATTAAAGCAAGGGAAAATTTTGCGTTTTAGTGACCACGACGATAGCTTCAAAATTGTCCGAAACATTGGGGCTGTGAAAGAGAGCGATATCTAATGGTTATCTTTACTCGACGACGCCTTTTTTTCAATCTTAATTTCTTCCCATGTGTTGAGAACTTTTAGCTTACGTATTAATTTATTTTTATCACCTAAATAAATATTTTGAACTTAAAAAAAATTCCATTTTTATTACATAAAATTTTTGTTAACTCGATGGAATTTCAACAGATGAATGCTTGTGTCGATGAAAACGCTCAGTCAAAATTAAGATAACTTTCCGACTAGCTAGAGTATTCAAAACGGTATCGAAACTTCGTACCCGATTTCAGTGCAAGAATCATTCATTTCCCGGCCGCTACCAGAAGAATTTATCAGAAATTAATCGTCAAAGAAAATGTATCGATAATTAAAATTTTCTGGCCCAATTAAAAGTAACCATAGCACAAAAATTTTAAAATTGCTTTCATTTTACGACTATTGCAAGTAAAATTTATCGCGAAACATTTGTCAAATGTATTTAACAATGATCAAATTTCCGACCACTTTCTGACTTACTAGCATTTTAAAGAATTTATCACCATATTATTATTACAAGAAATTTATAGTTAAAATGTTTACATTATAAACGGAACTTTTTGTTGGCTGACATCTCAAGTTTAAATTATTTTCTGGCCATTTACATGCTGATTTTATGGCCTTATTATTATCAAAAAGAATTTTTTGACAATCTAAAATTAGATTACTTTTCGACTAGTTTAAGTGATCTGTGTAGGATGGTAAAGCTAGTATCGATTATCTCTCGACTTCTTCAGGCATAATTTGTATATAATCAAATAAAATTTATTGCTATCATTATTTTGATCACTGTCCGATTAGCTTGAGTGCTCAAATTTCAACTGATGTTCTGCATAATAATAATTTAATCATTCTGTAAATGATGCTAACAAAATTTATCGCTAATCAAAACTTTAAATCACTTTTTAAAAAAATAGACCCAAGGCAAGATCCGGGAAGCACATTACTTTCGTAATACAGTTTATCACCAGTGATAATCAGTATCTAACGTCTTTCGAAAAATAATGTGGTTTATATGAGGTTAAAAAAAAAATTTCAAATTTTTACGTTTTTTTATTATAACAAGTCATTTTATCACAAATATCTATTTTAAATCAAAATAACTTTTATAAAAATTCACAAATGATTATACTTATTGAATACTGTACCGAACACAGGGGTTCGTGTTGATTGGAGATGAATGAAACAGTCTTTAAGATTCCAAAATTTTATTAGTAGAATCTTCCAAAAAATTAAGCAATTTTCAACCCTCAATTAGAGCACGAATAACCGACTAGTACACAACATATCACAGTCTTCGAAACCTCAAACGGTTCACAGGAGACTCGCAAATCAGAACACTATTGCAATCACAACCAGACACTGCTCAGCGAGGCACACTCCTATAGGCTACTATAAATATATTTATATAGGCCTAGCGACGAAACCTCGGAACTTTCGACATGATTTAAATGACAACCTGGAACCTGAAGTAAAAACCTGAAGCCTGTTAAATCTTAGGTTTAACGGATAAAATCTAGCTCTTACCAGAGTGGCTTGACAAAAGTTCAAAGTATGCTTTAATATGATTTCATTTTGGCCTTTTATTAAGTTTTTGAGGCAAGACCTGGTAGCCATTTAAGTTAATAATCGGTTTTACCGGTAAAACCTTGAATGTACCAAACTTTAGGCTTTTACAGTAACATTTATATAAATGTTTGTTTTAGATTCGAATGGAAGAGAATATCTGGAAAGATGTATGTGTATGAGATAGCCGGCATTCCAGTAGATCCTGAAGAAGGACGTTTCTGGTTAACATATTACAAGAACAACACAAGTACAGCTTTAATTCTTGTCCCAGAAGGTTGGTGAAACAATTTTATCTTTTTGTTAGAGTACTCAAAGACGATTTCACTAAAAGTGGAGTATATAAAAATGCATATTAAATATACAGATGTAATCAATTATCACCCTTAAATAAATAATTTGTCAAAAAAAGTATAAAAAAGAAGGTACCTCAAATTAATATCTAAGCAAGTAAAAACAAAAACGCTATTTAAATCTAATCAATTACTTAACTACTAAGAGAAGGTCGGGATAGCTTGGTCTGTAGGGCGCTGGGTTCATGTCCGAGAGTTCGAACCTCGCCAACCGAAGATTCCCCGGGTAGTTGGTGACTGATGCACGTTAAAATTCCGTCGAGTCGCAAAGTCCTCCATGTTCCCATAACAAATCAATATCTCTGGGGGTACTGGATTGGAGACTGATCGTTCTCTGATTCAGGTCAAAATTACGATCTGTGGATGTATGAATGGGTCCGCCTTGTAAACAGGTGTGACGTACGATGTGGCAGAAGTCGAATTCTTGGCCATAGATGGCGCCATTGAAAGACAAGAATCACACACTCTGCCTTAAATTTGTTCGTTTTCACCAAGCAGGCTTGCCCGTGTGGCAAATGGCATTAGAACCAACCAACCATTACTAAGAGAAGATAAGGACATCCTGAATATTTTTTATTTATTTGTCAAATCTCCCGTGTGAAATATCATAAATTAACAACAACGATATACTCTTCCATGTGTAGTATTTTAGTAGAAATTTATATAAGGTTTCAAGGGTGCAAAAGTAACTTTCAAATTTTTCTTTACTTTTTTTACTGTCATATTTTACTTTTGAAATTTCAACAAAAGGTGTAAGTATGTTATAATATAGTGTTTAATCTTTTTTCGTATTGAGTTTTGACCTATACAGTTTCAACTAACCTGCATAAGGCCTAAGCATAGTAGAATTCGTGTAGACACGTGATAGTGGAGGTAGTTCGAAAATGTCCACAGTGGTTTCATTTAAGTCTCATTGAAAAAAATATGAATCCATGACAAATGTAGCACGTTTGATTTCATTTATTTTCGAAATTTGGATTATTATGTAGTATGATATACCTTTAAAAATAGTGGTTTTAATCTCAAGTAAAAAATTTAACAAGAAACATTTACATTAATCCTATTTTTTAAAGGTTTTGCTAAGAAAATTTAAAGACGTTTTATCAAGTCTGTTAAAAGAATATAATTTAATATAGATGAATTAATGTAGAAAATAAAGATTTTAACCATGCATTTATCTTTTGTCATACATTGAACTATAACAAAACATAAACTAACGTCTTCAGTTTTGCGAGTTATTTACAGTGCTACAATGAAGGAAATATCACTAAGTCATGTATTGTAATAAATAACATTTTAAAGAGCTGTAGGAAACAACTCTATCTTACATAAGAAATGAGCTAAAAATTCCCTATTGGGGAAAAATTCACCACTCAAATTTTTAACCCAATTTAACGAAACATTTTTGGAGGGATAAATTCAAAAGAAAAAAACAATACTAAATAATATATACCCGCATTCTCTAATAAATAAGAATTATAGTTCGGCTTTGAGGAGAACTCCAGACAGAAAGTCTGGGGCTGTCTGCTGCTATGGTAACAAGCGAGAGCACATTTCTAATGGGGGTGAAATGGAGGAAAGAAGGTGTCGACTCACGACGACCTACGCTAAGATTAAGACAAAACTATTCAGACCACATCCCTATTCGAAGTGACCTTTCCTCGTAACCATAGTACCCGCAACGACGCGAGACGGGTGTCCAGAGTTCTCCTAAAAGCCACACTATACTTTTGTATAATTTGCAAATCAAATAAATTTTCAATACTAGCTAGTGAGAGACATACACATCGAACTATACACATTAAGTTGCATAATCACCGCCCTTTATAAGAATCATTGTCAAAAAGGCATGTGCCTTGGTCGTAAGATAGTATTTAAATAAGAAAAATTAAAATTTAATAAAAATCATATGAATCATCACTATTGCGAATAGTGGGGTTAAAGCATCAAAACCTATTTGATTGCTCAGATGAAACTTTGTGTTTCGTATTATATTTCATGTATCTCAGTTTCCTCTTAATCTCACCTTTCTCGTTGGTAATTCAACAACTTTTGATTTCAGTTTTTCCTTTTTACTTAGATAAACTATTAATTTGAAACTCTTTTTGGATAAAATTTTTTTTACTTCATTCCTGTTGAAGATTGTAAAAATATATAATAGGCAGTTGGTTACTGTAAACTATGTACTTGAAAATGTACTAAGTGCCCATCATGATAAGAAAAGCCTTTGAAAAGAGTAAATTCACTGACTAGTCTTATGTGGAAGTTTAAATGTACTTAATGTTAGAAATATTTTTTGCCTAAGATTTTATGGATTTTTTTTTCAATTAAAATTTTTGTTACAGGTCCAGATAACCTCCAACTACATGATGGTTATCATCTAATCCAGTGGTACCAAAGTGTTCATTTTTAATTTATTTCAATCTCCATTGATGAAATAGCTGTAGAATTTCTATGCATGAAATAAATTATACGACTTTTGAAGACGTTTAAATTGTGTTATTTTAGATAAGTTATACTTCTATCATATTCTTTTCTACACTTTTCTTTTTCTATGTACCAGCAGGATACATTGGCACCGCCTTTGATGGAGAAGTAGTGGTCTTGAGTACGGCCTTACAGCAGTTACTGGCCCTCCAATACAAATTTGAAAATGCAGTTCTCTTCTCGGACTCACAAGCGGCCATACAATCAATAAGCTCACATGAACGTCCCTTTATACCTGAGATTTCCTGATGTCAAAACTTCTTGAGGTCTTTATTTTTAAGGGGAAAACGAATAGTCCTCCAGTGGGTGCCAGCCCATTGTGGTGTTTGGGGCAATGAGCAGGCAGATTTACTTGCCGAAAAGGTGCCAATTTGCTACAACAACCAAATACGGCAACTTCCTTTTGGAAAATCAAACTGTTCCTTAAAAATTTATGTAAAACCAACTCATTGCAAGATCTTCAGACTAGCACAGCTTTGAAAAGTTGGAGAAATGTAAGTTCTTCTTTAATTCCCGACAAACCAAGACGTGATGCAGTTCCGGCCTTCCGCTTATATACAGGCCACGATTGTCTTTCTGCTAACTTATACCGCATAGGCCTTCGTACCACGCCTTTTTGTCCACTTTGTAAATCTGGAGAGAAATTGGGCAGGGACCACCTGCTTCTATGTGGACACACTGAGTCCTCAAGATATTGGGAAGCAAGAGAACTTTTGCTTTGCCATTGGAAATAAAAAATAAAAAAACTTCTATCGTTTTACTTAAAAGTTGTGTTAATACCATGTTATACCACAGTTGTGTTAATACTACAAATAAAACTTTTACTCATCAAAATAATAGTATGATTTTTTTTAAAAATTATATCACATCTTTTTAAATATTTAAAATCAGGATTTCTTAAACAGTGGAGCACGACTCAAATTAGCAATTCAGGACGCGCAGAAGGGATCGCCAAAAATGTAAACAATTTTGATGTTCCTTAAACTTTATTGTAATTATCAATTATTTTCTACACTATGGGTCTACAATAAGACAATTAAAGAAACGTTTAAATGCATTTTTCTTTCTTTTTTATACTGATAGAAACGTGCTTGATTTGCACATGAGGATATTTATTTGGCTAGAAGTCGCAAAAGAATTTCTAATGATTTCAGAAACTGCCTTTAACTTTCTTTTTCATTTTTCTACGACATACAGTATAGTTCTAATTATCCTGACCAAACCCGATCCAGATAACTGGGTAATTTTAAAAAATGGTTTTGAGAATGCTTTTAAGTAACTTCCCTTCACACTTTTTCCAGGCTTAAGATTGGCAATTGCAGTAATGCCTATTATAGCATATAACGAATAAGGTATTTAAAAACCTTAGTTTTTTAAAAAATTTCAACGAAAATTGTTCTTATATTAGAAATTACTTGCCACCCACACTCACCTTAAAACTGGGGGAAAGACCGTGAGGTTTTTTTCAAGGTCACCAATGGACAAAGGTTCTACCCCTTTCAGAGGCTTTACCCAATATCATCCAAAAGATGAAGATTGAAAAAAATAATTTAGGTTTTGAGAAAAGTTGACTCTTTTAAGTTCAAATTGTGATATAGATGTAAAAAAAAGTTCATTTTTAAACTAAACAAGAGATATAGCAATTTAGAAAGTAAAAACAATAAAGATATAGCTATAATAGAAAGTAAAAATGCTCCAGTAACAGCCTATTGTGGACCCTGGGTCATGGAAATTATGGCTCCACAATTCAGTGACCTGTGGCAGAAATGAGGTCAGAATTGCTCACTGGCCCCCCTTTCTTTTCAGGCTAGCTAGTATCTATCAATCTGAAGCCTGGTAGGCTTTAATTTTCCATCAGGTATGGAACCTCAGTCTTTCGCAATGAAAAGCCACTACTTTAAACACTGCACCATTGCGGCTTATTAATAAAATATACAAATAACAAAAAGTTTCCATTTATTATTTTATAATATCAGCACATACAAAATAATAAAAGACAGCCATAAAATAATATACAATGCACAAAATTTTCACTTCTACCTGATACAACTGTATTGAGAGCACTCAGTACTAGTCAGCATGGGAAATTTTATAGCAGCGAAACAATGTCTTTCGACAGGAGAATGCACCCGTATTTGCCGAAGGTGTGTATCACGCCCATTTTGATGGTTAGACAACACTGCTATCTGCACAAGATAAGTCCGTATAGGTTGCCCATAAGAGTCTTTTAATGGAATTTTAACCCATCCACTTGGTTCATTTAATTCTACAACTTCAATTTCTTGTAAATCATGGAAATGTGTTCCAGCTCGAACAGAGACTCTGGCAAACAATATTTAGTTCATAAATTAAATTAATATTATAATATATAGTAATATACTAACTTGCAGTAATAGTAATACAGAACATACAGTAAAAATCTTTGCAGAAAACTGAAATATTTTTAGATTATGTTTATTATAACTAATTTTTATCTTAAATTTCTTGCGAATAATGGAAATGCATTTTAACTTAAATAGAGACTGAAAAAAATATTTAGATGTTTTCATTGTGTAGTTTAAAAACATGCAGTTAATTTCCCCGTAAAAAAGTGATAATTTTTTAAACTATTATTAATAGCAAACTACTATAAATAATTATATAATTAATTTAACTGTTGCATTTTTTCCAAGTTTTGAAAATGCATTTAAAATCTAACAAAAATTCTGCAAACAAAGTAACTGTTAGGAACACTTCAGTTCACTAACAGTTTAAAAATTATAAAAGTTTTAAGTGGATAAGTTCAAAAAAGTACATAACTGTATTTTTTATATACAAATCTTTTACAGGATTCCATACACATTCAGTAAAATTCTGTCTTTCAGAATTTGTGAACAATCAAGAAAAAACTTATTGTTATAATTTTATATATCTAGACAGCAAATAAATACACCTAAGCAACAATACTGCGAAATGTTCTAAGATTGACTCTTTATGTTAGAAACAAGCTTGGAGTAACTTTTGTTAACAAATAATGACATAAACTTATAACTAACAGCCAATTTTAAAGAAATATGAGTAAAATTTCAAAAATGTATGAAAATTAACTTTAAAAAAGAAATAAACCAACTAAAAAAAAGTTTTAGATTATATTACATACTAATTGATTTTAAGCAAAAATAACTATAGGAAAAAAAACAGATTAGAAATTGAAATCAATTACTGTTAAAAAAAAATTATTATTAAAAAAAAGTATAATATAACACTAAATTTTTAATCAGAAACATAAATTTACCTATTGGGGGTATAGCTTTCATCCAGTTTGTAATCAGCATATAAATAAATATCTTGTATAGTTGTCTTTTTTCTAAACTGAATGTTAATTAGGTGAGGCTGGGGACCATCAGATTGCCAATATGTTTCTAGCCATTTATCTCTTAACTGATCGACTCCAAATCCTTTAAAAATGCAAACATCAATTTAAAACACCAATAAATATAACACAACATTATTAAACAACAAAAATTAGAGTAAAAAAAGAAATTTTAGCAAATTTTCAGACAAAAGACCTAAATTCGCTATCACAAAATTGTTATAGACTGAAACACCACAAACTTAAAACTTATATAAATTAAGCTTATCCAAGTTAGAATATAATAAAAAAAAAATCTGTATCAAATAATATTTGGAAAACAAGTTTTTGCCTACCTACTAATAAATCACTTGAAGTGATGTACAATAGTCGAAATTTAGAAACGAACAAAAAATGTGCTTTCATGCAGTTTGGGGAGGGCGGATCTAAAACGAGTGATATGACCAGATAATATCAACAAAAATGTTAGGTAAATTTCAAATCCTTTTAATAGACCATAAAACCTATGAATCTAATTAAAAAATTGAAATTTCATGTAATAAATACACTTCCATTTATTGTATACATACTTGTATAAATTTAAAAATTATTTTAAAATATTGATTTTGCTATGCTGCAGGGTGAATATCATTAAAACCTTTACATAAAACATACTAGATTCACAATAATGTATTTCCTTTTTGTATTGAATTCGTAGGATTTTTTTTTCCTAGTAACATTCATAGCAGGGCATGAAATTTTAATTCTAAAGATAATAGCAAGACCAGTGGCGTAGCTAGGTAACCAAGGGCCCTGGTTCAAATTAAAAAATGGGGCCCCACTGCTATGTAAACTGATTAGGTTTTATCAATTAAAAATATGAAATATACAAATACTTTAAAAATGCTAAGCTACTTAAGCTCTTTTTTGTGCACTGCAGGGCAGGTAATAAAAATATTAAACAGTAACAGCATAAATTACAATTAATACTTGGTGTAGGTTTGGCTAATAAAACGAAATAGAGAAGATTCAAGGGTTTATTATATAAAGGTCGGGCCTACCAACTGACTAAATAACAATTATTTTTAAAAAAATTTCCTAGCTTTAGTTTTCACGAAAGTATCAAAGACTTCGTTTAAATCCAGGCGTGATGCGGTTTTGTTTTCAATTGCTATTAGCGATAAATGTCGGAGTGGAGTTTGGCCCATATTATTTCTTAAATAATTTTTTATTATTTTTAATTTTCTAAATGACCTTTCAGCTGTTGCAGAAGTGACAGGAATTGTAAAGAATAATAACATTGCTGTAAATACTTCCGTTAGGTCGCATTCTAGCACTCCATATTTGATCATTATTTCCTTACATAATTGGTAAACAGTCCATGCTTGAGTTAGTTGTGGTAAAACTAGGTGGTAAATATTAATAAATTGAAGTGAAAAACTAGGGTCTATTATATCTGAATATTTTCTTTGGAATTCGTCACACTTTTGTAATAAAGTTACTTCACCAGCATGTAATAAAAATGTTGGTGTTAGAAAATCGAATGTATGACAGACTGCACTCATACCAATAAAACGTGTATCTAATTGAGATATTACTGTGTCTAGTACATTATTGAAAATCTCAATTTTGAATATTTCATTCTCGGTTTGGAAATCGGTGATCAGCAGCTAATTCATCAAAATGTTTTTTAACTTTTCTTTGCCTTTTTTCTTGAAAATGGGTATCAATACCATATTTTCTTGTAGTTTCACTGGCTTTGCACTTGAATAATTCGTAATCATTTCTATAAATTTGCAACTTTGCTTTGGTCTCTGCTAAAACTTTACTCTCCTCGCCCAAATTGATGTCGCATTTTGGTAAAGTTTTGGATGCATAATTGATGTCGTTCAATACACTGTGCATGAATTCGCAAAGCAACACGATCTCGAAATTTAGCATTTTTGTTTTAATACTCTCTGCTTCACTACGCTCATCTTTATTAGGACTCTTTAGAACTATTTCTGATAATGCTTTGATAATATCAAAATGACGAAGTTTTATACAGACATCGTATTGACCCTACTGGACCATCTTGTCGGATTTAGTTTTTTTAGAGTGGTGTCCGATTCGCCAGTGAATTTTGACTGTAGATCCCAACGTTTGATGCTGTTTCCGAAAAAGTTATACAAATCTTGCAACGTTGCGAAAAAAATCTATATTTCCACACAACTGCTAACGGCATCATTTATCACCAAATTTAAATTATGAGTGGCACAATGTACGTACTCTGCGTTAGGCTGGATATCCTTAATATGTTTTTGTACACCATTATACACACCACTGATCACACTGACTCCATCATAGCCTTGACCGACACATTTTTTTAAATCAATATTTTTGTCGATAAATAATGTTGTCACTTGGTTGACTAAATCTACTGCGCTATGTTTGATGGCTGCATAAAAGCCTAGAAGCACTTCTTTTACTTCTATATCAATTGGCTGTCCGTTTTCCGATCTGGTTATTACTGCATACCTCACAACAATGCTTAGCTGATCTACCCTCGATATGTCCTGTGTCGTATCCATTATGATGGCAAAAAACGGTGACGCTCTAATTTGTTCTAGTAGATGGGTTTCGAGTTTGGTCCCCAAGCTCTCAATCATTTCATTTTGAATTGTTGCACTCAGATATCTTGTAGATCCTAAAAACATAAAAAAACACAATTTCAAAAAAGTCCTGATATTAAACAGTTAATAATTATAAACAAAATAAAACGATAAAAAAAACTTAGAAATAATTATTATTACCTTTGGGCATATCCAAAACTTGCCGCAAAATGTGAGCATATCGGGCGACAAGCTCTACAAAGGACAGAAAATTTCCGTGGTATCCTTTCTGACTTAAGTCTTCTTGATGTCCTCTCAAAGCCAAAGAACTCTTTGCTACGGTAAGTATGCTATCGAATAACCTTTGAAGAACCATTTTCCAAAATGATGCTTCTTTGCAAATTTTATTTTCAAGTTCCTTGTCGATAGTATTATTATCGGTTTTTTTTTCAAAATTTATACACAGCACATGCTTCCGAATGGCCACTCGAACAACTGTGTTGTTTAATTCTTTCCGATAAATGCTTCCAATCTCAAATTCCCGTACACCAAACATTATTCCTTTGTGAAGCAAATAACCAGCAGGGTTGACAATAGGCAGCGTCTAGTATTTTGGAATAACACAACCAAAAACGATTAGCTGGCCCATATTTAGAACACGAAACGTAGTACGATTTTGAAAAACACCTATTGTTCTGGTTGATGTCTGTTGGAAAAGGTCCTGAAATCTGTAAAGGCCCCATATCAAGAATTTGACGTTTTTCGTTATCACTTAATATCTTGTTCGAGAAGTTTCCCAAGTCATAAGAAGATTTGTCGTACACATTTTCGAAAAATGTAGAGGTCTGTGGTTCCTCCAAACCCTCCGCTCTTATGTGTGTCATGCAAACATCATCCACGTTCACATGATCGGCGGCGGAGGTATCTCCAACTGCAATAATTGTCGAATCTTCTTCAGTAGGCTTCTCAACCAACACTGCAGTTACCACATTATTTGAGTCACTATCAATAGAAATATTTTGGCCAGATGTACTTGCAGAAGGCTGACTAAAAAACTTGTCAATTTTGGACAATGTTTGTTTACTATCTTCTCTTTCTTGGCATTGTTTGCGTTTAAATGCACCACTGGGTTTCTTCTTTTTATCCATAATTTTAGTTTTCCAATTTATTTAAACAATACAATATTAGATTGTGCTCGAGTAGGTAGGTACTCACTGTTCACTGACGACGTTAAAAGTAAAATAAAAGGAAGGAGAAACACAATGATACCCTACAAGTGTCGTTGGGGAATCCCCGGGAAAAAAATTATCACCGTTAGTGTTACCACATTTAATGGTGGAAACTGTAATGGTTGGCAACTGTTTTGCGACCTTTTAAGGCGCACTTGGCGCATTTTGTCATCCCGCCGGAGGGATGCGAGAGAGAAAAAGGTAGATGTATGTTTGATATAATCGAAAGAGGGTCTCCCTTGGTATTCCAAGAGCTGGAAGCTCTTACTGCAAAACAATGCCTATTTCATTTGTTTTTAAATAAAGTTAAGTTTTATTGTTTTAAAAATCTGGTCTTTCTTATTTATTGGAAAGAAAGGCATTACAGAGACCATGAACAATCTCCTGCCCGCGGACCTGAATTAATGTACCTAACTGCAGGTGACTGGCATTTTTTCATGATATTTCGCGTTATACAATGAGCTGTAGCCGAAATCTATAGATTTGACACGAGTTATTGACTTAACGGACATCAATATGAGTGGTAAAATCGAACCACTATATTGACCAGTACAGAAAAGTTTATTGGCATTAGCTAAATTACTCCTGATACAGCATTAATTTTTTAACCGTTCTCGAAAAAAAAATCTTAATTCGAATTCACAATAAAACGTACATCGATGAATAATAAAACGCACATATCACTATCCGTCAAATTGACAACACTGCCAACCTACAGAAAGAATTTAGGGGAATTCCTTCATCAACATGTAATAAAAATGTTGGTGTTAGAAAATCGAATATATGACAGACTGCACTCATACCAATAAAACGTGTATCTAATTGAGATATTACTGTGTCTAGTACATTATTGAAAATCTCAATTTTAAATATTTTTTCTNGAGGGCCCCGGGGCACTGCCCCGTCTAGCCCCTAGGTAGCTACGCCACTGAGCAAGACCAAAATTTTTGCTCATCATTATTTCAAATTCATGAAAAATATGAATGACTTTTAAATTGTTAATGGATGTAGTATAAAGAACTACCTGGGAAATTTTTTTATTGCAATAACAATAATAAATCAAAATAAGGTTGTCAGAGGGTTTCAAAAACAACTGTATATGAGTGAAAAGTGGGCAACTCAGCATTTTTTGTTCTAAATAGCCTACGGCAGAATCAAGCCAACATTGTTACAGAGTTCTTTTAGAAAGATTTTGTATTTGGGAAGCAAAAAAATTTGGTTTTATTTTCTGAAGAATTTTTCAAAAGAACTTTTCTCTCCTGCAGAATTATTTTCTGAAGATGCCT